AGGCATTTCCTGTCCGTTGCATTATTTTGGCCGAATGTTCAATCGCAGTGAGAGCCGATGAAAAATAGCTTTATGCAATTTCAGAAATTGATTCTGTTATTCCGAACAATCCTTGTCGATGCTTCAATCAACAATTGAATGAACACCATTCGCGTTATTTTTAACGTGATAACAAAACTTCTGGATCAGAGTCTCGTGTTTACATAAGAAGCAAAATAGTAGCAGCTTTCGTAAAAAATATTTCTTAAAATAACACGTATTTATATTTTCATCTCTGCAAAGATTATTTAAGATTGCATAACTTTTATATTCACAGAATATATTTATTTCTTATTGTTTTTTTTAGAATTTGTTACATTTGTGTCTGTTTCTCTTATGATATACAATGTACATTAAATTTACTTACATTTCTTTTAGAAAGTTTATACTTTATTAAAACACGTCTTACTCTCTTCGAGCAGTTGTGATTGCAGCAATTTCAATTGTAATTGTTATATTTCTATCATTAGTTCTTTAACACAAAAAAATAATTATTATTTTAATAAATCTTAAAATGTATTGCGCTTATATATACAGGTATTAATATTTAGTTTACCTATATTTGTAGCGAAGCTTTTCGTAATAATCGAGACATCACAAGAATAATCCACTCGTAAAGCACCAATTCACTAATTTAGTCGGTGCGAATTATTAAGCTGGATAGAACATCAATTTTGATATTCGGGCCGTCAGGAGTGCTCTGAACATGTTCGTACGACCAGTAATGGCCGCTCAGGGGTAGAGAATAGGAGACTGTACTAACTTCCGCGAGTCGATAATGTCCCATAATTAGTAACTCCCGAAATGTCGATGTAAGGGAGGGATATACATAGTTGGACAGCCATCGAGGGGTTGCCGTATCGAGAAGGCAATCATTGTCATGGTCGCTATTGAATTATTTATTATTATTGTCGGCATCGTTTATTAATAACAGAACAACTGCAATAAGCGTTGAAGTCTCTTAATAGTTTGCCTTATATAGTTCAACGACATAATATAAATTCGTCATCAATATAAATTTATCACTGTAGATATGGTTATACGCCGCGATTGTCCAATTTCGTATTAGGCGATCATATCATGAAGAACCGCTTGTCGACCATTTCCCCTCGTCACCACGCCGATCTGATCCCAAGAAGGGAGAAAAAAAAAAATAAATGGTACACGAGTTGATTGATTGTTCGTCGTGCGTCCACCTCGAATCGCTGACCCCGCTTTTTTTCCCAACTCTCTTTTTTAATCGCCAGTCATTTTCTCGCCGGTTGCACCGATATGTACGCGCACGTAACCGCACTCTCGCTTGCCCGCAGCGGCAATCCTCAGTTGAAATATACAGCGAGGCAAATGCCGGATTTGCAAAATCGCATGTACGTAAATAACCGCGAAATGAAACGCAGAAAACCTGTTTGCCGAAATCCTCCGCTGGGATCGATGCATTTTGTTTTGAGCGACATGCCACTCGGGAAGAGCAAAACATTAAATAATAGAACACTTTTTTCGCATAATAAATTTTAAATTTATTAAGATTTTAATAGAATCTTATCCTGATTATTTAGTTATTTTCACGATACTTAATATAAGACGAAAACAAGACAAAGTGTCTTCTAGAATATTACGTTAGGAAAAATTAATTTAAAAAGAATAATGCGATAATTCTAAAACATCTTGAACGTAATTTTTCTTTCATATCTCATATATAAATATATAATTTAATTTTACTTGTCTATATTAATTTAACATATCTATATCTTAGTGAACAGCACGGTATGCAACAGCTCGCATGATCACTTCGCATTTATTCGGCTTGCCTATCACGTGTGCCCAGCAGGCAGTGGGCGTATCTTTGTTCAAAGCAAGGGTATCATTGTCCTTATCAAGTATAACAGAATCCAAGTTGAATTCGGTGTAATTTCGCTGCAATGTTTTATTATGCATCCAAAATTTTTTAACAAAAATAAATCTGATCAATGCACAAGTGTATAAATTGAAACCGCCTGTGAATTAATGTAGAGATTGAATTTTTATATCACTGTAAACTAAATTTAAAATTGCGCAATTCTGCGCTTTACATGGATCGAATCTAAAACTTGTTTAAAATTACTTTTAATAGCAAATTGGCTCGATTTATGTCTGACGATATTAGAGAATCTAAATTTTGATAACTGTCTGTTTTCATCTAATTTGAAATCTATGAATGTTTATTAATCTATTTAGTAGGAATATCTATAATTATACAATAAAAACAATTTAAAAATTAAAAAATACAAAATGTAGGCAGAAAGGCATTTTAAGTATCGGCCAGGCATTGTTGCTATGTTCCATGGAAAAAGTTTGCGAACAAGGAACTGTATAGTATTTATCTTTCGAGTTTGGCGAGAAGATCGATTGCTACTATCGTTACGGAACGAAAGACGAAAAGAAAGTGCAATAGTGGTGTTTTATTTTAAATTCTTTTTTTCAGAGATTTTTAAAGACAGATAATAAAGAATTTATTATAGCAATATAATAAATAAAATTATTCTTGGTACGGCAATAATTTAATACATCATGCAACCATTGCTATTTTTCCAAAAGTAATTTTTGCATTGACAATGAGCATTTATTCATTCAAATTTTATACAAAGCGTTATACTATAATATACCTACACAAATAAATGCAGTAATTTTGGCGAAAATTCTAATTATTTACGTTAGAACATTTTTTTAAAATACAATGTTAAATACTTAATATTTATACATAATATGTTTGAAAATGATAGAAGATTATAATTAATACATATCAATTAATTACGTGATGTAAAAGTGAATATATTGCGGATAATGACTTCAAAGAGCAACGATGGGATTATTTCCACTCTAATTTCGTTCAATGGTGCATGTCACATATGAGATTAATATATAATAGAGCCTTTTATGTTCATAATAGATGCATGAATAATTTTTCAATTCAGCACATTGTTTATATACTTATGAATTAGTGAAGAATATGTGTTCGTATTAATGACAATTTTTAATTATAGTAATTAAACGTAATACGCGTATTATATGTTGTACGCAATCATTTTTTACATTGTTAAAATTTAAAGCAGAATTTTACTCTTCCAAGAATATATATGTCTGTTTGTTAAACGTATTTCAAAAAATATATGTCTAACGTGATATTAAAATATCTTTTGATAACAACGTTAAATTTGATCCATAGAAAATAATAAAAATTCTTAAAAATCAAAATTAATTGTAGCAATATATTATTTATCAAAATTTATTGCTTATTGGCTTTGTCCATTTTCATATACATATTAATTTTAATTAAAATTTGATTAAAATTAATTATATATACAATTCATTATCGATATTAATCTTTACTAATTAAATAAAGATGTAGGTAGATAAAAGAATTCATTAATGATCCATGTTAATTATAATTCCACAGATGAGCAATTATAACTTTATTTATTGATACAGCAACAAATTGGCGTATATACTGTACCATCTTTAATATATTCAAATTTTTATTTTAATTACTATTCAAATCTACATTTTATAAATATTACATAAGCTTTAGCTTACATGCATAAACAATTAGTGATACTTACCTTTGTCAGAAATTTCTCTTTTCCTTCAATCTTTTCTTCTCGAAAAAAATGCTGAAAAATATGTGAATCAATTATACAATATAAATAAAAAAATATTAATGAAAGCGTATCAAAATTATTATGAAAATATATTAATTAAATATTTATCTTATTATAAGGATGTTTATTAATGAACAATGCATGTATAATAGCAGTCATGTACTCGATTTATTAAGATATACAGGCCGACAGTTCCACTATCTACATCTAATCATCGATTTGTGTGTCATCAGAGACGATGCACATGTGGTACATAAAAATCGTTTGACATAGTGAAATCGTCGGACATGATACATTAATAACATTATTATAATTTAATTTGAGATATAGCTACGATTGCGGCAGCTTCATTTGGTATTCTACTGAACGACGTTATCGTACGAACACCGTCGTGTCATCTCAAACAGTATATAATATTCACAACACTCGCCTCTACATTCGGTTTAACAAGCGCAGCCTCGAGTCATCCTCTCAAAGACGACGATCCAGACTGATCACAGCACAACATATCTACAATATTTACAGAATTAACAGGGAAAGGCGCGTAATATTTCACATCCGCTTCGCCTGAGATCGAACGATGATGGCAATTCATATGATCAGGTACAACGTAAGAAGAGATTCAAAGTGGTTAAAGCGTTGTAGAGCAAGTTCTCCACAGTTTGTCCGTGTTAAGCGCGGACTCGCATCGCGCGCACGACAAAACGAGAAGTGGATTTTGCGCGCACGAGTATTACGAGCTTTCAGAGATGCCAATCAGTTTTCGAAAACAACGAATTCGATATATATATATTCAACATTAATCATTGCAACAAGGGCCCACTGCACTTTTCCGAATTGTCACCGTTTTCTAATTACGGTCGTGCAACCGCGACGAAAACCCCGGCGTATTTCATTTTATCGAAATGTCAGAAATCGCACAAAAAGAAGCCACGAAGCTCTCTGCGTCACCGTCGTCGATGATTCGAGGCTACTTGATGTCTAGCGTTAATTCCTTCCCCAGGACACATATTCGGGCGCAAACTTACAAATTTCCGTCGAATTCTGTTAATAATCATGCCTCGCGAAACGCATGTTATGCTCGGATTATATACGTGCACGCCTTACCAATCGAATAACTAATTACCGAGCGATGCGTTTTTCGACACAACTACAATCCATACGTATGTGTATATATATCTATATGTAATAACTTCGTA